TAACCCCAGGATACCTCAGGTCAGAATTTCAGGATGTGCACCAGACTCGCCGGACAACCGAGTGACAGTGAGCACTTTTTCATGAGACCCGTACTACTTGCAACCCTTTGCCCCGGGCGCGAGCCATGGCGATTCAGCGGCTTACAGTTTCGTCTAGAGCCTAGGGTTTCGACATATCCCATCGCAGGGAAGGGTGCTCCCTCCACTGTCTGCAGGGTATGGAGTATGAATGAAATATAGTATAGACGCTGTTCATAAGAATCCTCATCTGCGCAGATGTTCTGCCGGGCTTGATTTCTTCCCTCATTTCCCTCTGAATACATCCCATCCAAGCGGCGCTACACCTGCACTGGATACGCTTACTCCGACCGTGCTGTCCTAAGTCCCCCTGCTTCCTCTGCCTCAATGTCCTACTGATATTCGTGGTGGTCTTTAGCTTCTGAACCTGCTCCGGGGGCTCACAGCCTGAATGCCCCGGGGCTGAAGTTCGAGTCTCACGATGGCAAAGTCTCGTGTCTTTAGGGTTGCGCCCGACTCCGCACCGAAGTCGCATAACTAACGAATCTCTACCCCGTGGCCCAAGATCGCAAGAGGGGGCCACGTGGGGGCCAGACTGGGAGGATCCCTCGGCCCGCAGCGAAGCGCCTCACTCTGGCGGCTTGATGCGGAATCGGTGTAAGAGGGTTTTAAAGGAGGTCAGGACTTTCGGGTCTGAGGCTTAGGGCCCTTGACTTTGGGGATTTCGAGCATTTGGGTTTGGAGATTCCACCTCAGGGATGATCTTCCAATTCGTCACCGGATGGCAAATGGAAAGCCCACCTTGACACATCGTGCTGCAAGCCTCCGTCTAGTCAAGAACCGAAGTCTGGGATCATCTTTGCCTGCTCTCGCAAACAGAATCCCAAGATCCTAAACAGTTCGCCGGGCTACAGTGCGGACAAGAAGCCATGTCGCTTCTCTGCACACATGGCTCACAGGACATCGCTCGTTATACTCATGACAATGCGCGGGTTTTCGCGTCAGGCTGGAAACTATAGCTGCAGGCTTACGACCGAAGACGGTTATGTACCGTGTTCTTACCACCGGATCCATGGTGATGACGCCAGGGAGCTGCTGTTTGCAAAAGAGGCAACCACACATGAAGGAAAGGACAGCCACACGCCAAGGCGTATCATTGAAACGACTGCTGACATGTGCGGCATGCGTAGATTCAGCGTAGGTGTGGTTCTGCGCATCTGCATCGTATGCGACTCAAGTACGAGAGGCCCGAAGCGACCTTTGGGCTGTCGGACATTTGCTGATGCCATGCTACGGAAGTGAAAGTACCGTGAGTAATCAGGAAATCTCAGATCTTGCTGGCTTTCGAGCCTAAGCGGACATGTGCCAATCAATCCAGTGGGAAAGCTATGCACCCATGGCATAGTCAAGCTGCATCTACCAGCAACGTTCAAAAATCTCACACATCCAAACTGTGGCATATAAGCCTCTCTCTACAGTCACTAGCGCCTTCCTTTGTGTTTCCCACACCCCTACCTCACATTCAGAGGTCGTCGCCGGACTCATGGCTCACAAGAAAAAGACTCGTCATGCGCGTGGACAACATTGACCAGGAGAGCAAGTTCTCTTGTGATTGGGCTACAGCTGCCGAGCTTCACCAGTGCTTTCAGCCTGCTCATATGTTGCACCGCTTCATGTACGCTGGTGTCGTCACTGCATCCATGGTGGAGGGGCACTTACACTGCTCATGCCCACCGCTTGCAAACAAGATAACCAGATGACCATCACGCGTGAATAAATGAAACTTCTTCCTCGAACGCCAAGCAGTGTTCAAAGGTGCATGATCGAAATCGATAGGCATTCCATCAACAAAGCAAGAATGAGAACTACAAGTGACTCAAAGTGGCATCTAGCTCTAAGTGTGCACTCTCTGTCTTCTGGACACCGGCAAGTCTTTTCTTTTCTTTCGCGCTCACGTAAAGTGACCGCAGCGACAGAGGCCTGAAGGCCTTGTTCTCCCTGGCACTGCGCGGAATTCTCATGTCTTAATAGGTTCTTGCTTGCAATCTGTGGAGACTTGCTATCTGCTCACATGCGGATCTTGAGAGAGCGGTACTGGAAATCTGTGCTCATCTTCAGCATAACGCACTTTATAACCATGCCGTACGCGAGCTTTGCCGGCACAGTAGTTAAGGTTGCCCGGAGAATTTTGCGGATGTCCACAATTCCGAAACCTCCGTCTGAAAGAGCCATAGGTCATCACGCACGAGGCTGAAAGTCCGAAGTTGAGGAACAGAACCTGCATCTCCCGGAATACTTCAACGCGCAAAGCCGCTGGGTAGACGAGGCCTCGCTCAATGGCCGGAGTCAGGCGTAGAGGGCAATGCTGCAAAGGCTAGAATGCTAGAACCATGCACGTTTATGAGACTACGTACGATGTGCACCTGCATGCAGATGTGTATAAAGATGATGTATACGACTAGAATGACTTTATACACCTTAGCCCCTGCCGGTATACATCACTGCCAGCGTTGCCCTTCAGCCCAAGGGTTGGTATCTGACTGTTCATTGCCCTGCTAGGCAGCTTCCCGGCCCCAAAAAAGAAGGGGCCCTGGCTCTGCCTGCAAAGCAACGAAAAGACGCCTGCACAGCGCATTTCGCTGAGTGCAGGGCGACTGTAGAGGCTGTAAGAGCTCTCCTAGGGATACACTACAAAGACTACAAATCGACGGCACGTTGGCTGTCGGTCCGACGCGACCTTGCCGCGTGGAAGAGCGGCCAGGATTTCATGACCCCGTGCCGCCATTGACACAATCATCCGGGGCCCAAATTCAAACATCGCAGCCCGCAGCTCCGAAAACCACAAGAGACCACCTCAAAGCTACATCCGAAGTCCCCCCCAAGTAAAGCCTCTAAGCCCGAGTTCAACCTGGGCAGCCCATATCAAAGCCCTTTGTCTATTATGTCCGGATTCCTGAAGCCATCAGGAATCAGGACGTGAGGCTGGTCTGTGGCGGCTGCGCCGGTTTTAGCCTGATCAGCATGAACGGCGGGAGTGTTTTTTTGCTTGGTGGGAGCGGAGGTTGTTACATTCGAGGATGCCCAATACTAGCTTTGTAGGAGTGCATATTGTTCAGGATGCTTTCAGCCTCCTGTTTCTCTACATTCAAGAAACGGCCTGGCGAGCGCACCTTCCATCCCAGGCCTCTCCTGTCATCTTGTCTGAAGCCACTCAATTGACTCAGCAAATCAGAAAACCTGGAGCACGAGGGAAACGCTGCTCTGGGGCGGTGGCTGCGCTTCGGGCATGTTGACGGGCGAGGGTCGGTAGGTCCCAGCCTCCGCAGCCTCCATGACACAGGACGTCTCAATTCTGAAATTACTGAGGCTGTTCTGTGGGAAGTGCTTGGAGCCCTCTTCATCCTCTTCAAGCTTGAAACTTCAGTCACGGCCTTGTGGAGTAGGGGGTGGAGTCTTGGAGTGTGGAAAACCAACACAAGCTGTGGAGCTCGTGACCGACGGATCCAACATGAACAAGTCTTCGTCGGATCGCAAAGCCTCCTGGCAGCCTTGAAGCACAGCGTAAGATGGACACTTCCACGCACGTGAAACCATCAACTCCACATGCCTTCCAACAAAAAGAATGCAGATTCCATACCTAAATCAGGAACCCATGCCGCACCTCGCCCTGGGCCACACCGCTTTGGGCTGGCCTTCGAGCCGACCTCGTTGTCAAAACCCCTGTAGAGATCAATGTGTGTTTTTTGGTCTAGGGAGTTTCATGCCGTTGCATTCACGCTCTCAAGGGATTTTACTTCAAGCGCCTGCGCGGTCCGGCTGCTGCAAAATAGGCCCCTAGAAATCGCTCCGAAGTGATCCTCTGCAGTCCGACACAACGATTTAGAAACCGAGGAAACTGCACACCTCCTTAGTTGTCAGCGCAGGCCTGCGCTGGGCCAGGACTTCCTCTATCTGCGGATTCACCGCCATCCAAACATCCAAACCCTGGCAGCAGGGGCTTGCGAGCTGCAAGCTGCAATGATAGTTGTTGCAGCAAAATAAGGCTGGCACACGACACATACTGCAATCTACATCGTGCCTTCGAGCATGCACTTGTGCACTCGAACAGCCGTCAGTAACCAAATTTTATGCGGGAACTATGCTAAAGACTCAGACAAGGGCCACAAGGAGCAATGCGCTACCCGTCTGCACTTCCACTGGCGTCATGTGACAAAGGGAACGTCTTGTATATCCTCACCCTCGGCAATGGTTCTAGCAATTTAGAAGGCTCAGGTGAGGCTATACAGCATAGACAAGTTCATTCATGCAATGCCATTAACCATCACTAACTGCTGTTTTCTGGTTCCGGTACCCTAAACCCTAAACCGTTAAGGTTACTTCCGTTGCTATGGGACGGTGCGGCCGGAAGGCTGGCTGCTACTCGCAGCGTTGCAGGTGAGCAAACGCCTAGGCTGCCAAAGCAGGTAGGGTTTAAGGTTTGGGGTTTAGGGGTTTAGGGGTTTAGGGTTTAGGGTTTAGGGGTTTAGAGGTTTAGGCGTTTAGGGTTTTGCAGGCCTACAGGCATCCAGGACCCTCCCTGTGTGGGGAACATGGCCCCTAACATCATAGGCTCATGGCGTCTCAAAGCAGGTATTTCGGCTAGAACGGAGGGTGGAAGGTTGCCAGATCAAACAACAAGTCAATAACAAAAACGCAGCGGATCTAAAACACAAAGCGTTCAAAACAAAATCACCGGTCCCACCACAGCTCCGGGATTAGCATGTGGCCACTTGTGTTTCCGGGTGGGTGGGGGGGGCATGCAACGGGCCGTATAACAGTGGGGATCAACAAAAGCTAAACATGCATACAAGAATTGAACATGCATCCAAGATAGATAGGTTGGGAGCAGTTTGGCAAACTATTGGATGATTCCATTTCTTCGAGTTCAGAATTGCCGCATGCCGGGTCCTGTGTTTTGCAAGTTGGGGCAAGCTATTGGGAAATTCCAATTTGTAGTTCTGAGTTGCTGCAAGCTACTACTAGGAGATCCCAATTTCTTAGGCGACAGCGGGGACATGAAACCTGTTGGGTCCTATGTTGCCGCCAGAATTGTGGAATCACAGTTTCTGAGGCTGTGTTTTCCGGATAACAAAACAAGGCGCACTGTCTACGCAGCGATGGTACGGAGCGCAAAGGGGCAATCCTAAAAATGGTTCGGTCCTGGCTTGGGCCCCCAAGAGAAACTCGACCAACACTCGGCCTACCCAGAGTGCAAGAGGAGGTTCGATGAAGGTCGGGGGGGGGTTCTACCAAAACCGCATTCTACGTGCCGTCCTCCCCATGGTTGCCCCTGAAACATAGGGGACAGGAATTTTGCTGAAGTGTCCTGAGTCCCAAGACTTGGAAGTTGCAAAGAACTCACTCCAGGGCCGTGAATAACATTGTCGCAGTCAGAGGCCATGCCCCTAAACCCCAAACCCTAAACCCTAAACCCCAAACCCTAAACCTGCCCCTTGAGAGCATTGGGCAGAACTGCAGCTCTTGGGAAAGAGCCACCCCGAGCACAAGACACTGCAGCCACGAGCTTAGCTGCGATAGGCACTAAACCCTACTCCTCCGGAGCTCCAAGCCCGGAAATAGTGTAGTATATCGTAGTATATGATAGTATACTATATTACAGTATATTATAGTATATAGTATATTATAGTAGATTATAGTAGATTATAGTATAGTATATTCCTAGTATTTTGTAGTATACTAATAAAGTATAGTAGAATTAAACTTCTCTAAGCCCTAGGCGGCCCTAACGGCCCTGAAACTCAGGTAAACGCTGTCCCTGCCAGGTGCCCCCACAGGCGGCCACCTTCGGTCTTTCCAGTTCCCACGGCACCAAGGCATGCACCGTCCTCTTTGTTGCTCTTTTTGCCGGTTCTTTTCCTCCCTGTTACAGACCGTCCTAGGATTTAGAGCCACTAAAGTGCTCTTCGAGTGTATATGTGGGGCTTGATATCCTAGGTTTCAGGCTTCGGGCGTGCAAAAGCTACGGCAGGATACTCCACGTTTCTGACCCGAAGAGCGTGCAAGTCTCGGACATCGCAAGTCGACATCTCATGGGTTCCGGAGGTGAGTCCGAATGCAACGAAGGCCTCTCAGCTACTGCCACCCTCTAGGCACTTACGAAGCTTACGCTCTGCAAGCAGCATGCGGGGTTGCTCCCTGCTCGCCCGAGACCCCTCTGGAGATTCACTCCTCTTTGGACGAGATGATGCCGTTCGAGGTATCAAAATGCCACAGCCTCAGACACGGCGAAAAAAACCCATCTGAACGGGACCTGGGCCATAATTGGAAACCATGAGCAGAACTCCTGGCTTCTTCTAAGTGTGGCCTCAGAGCTGTCCGTGCAAACTCATATCCCCATATCCCTTTAAGTTCCTTTACCTTTGGATGCTTCGTCATCTACTCAGCTGCTTTAAGAACCTGGCGGCACTTCTTGCTAAGAAAAAGAGGGATCCACATATCCCCGAGTCAAGGAAGCAACCTTAGTATGAGAATCAGCAGTCCTGTAAGATTTGAAGCTTAAGGGATTTGCTCAATAAGCAGGACCACACATAGTCAGCCATGCAGCTGGCGGAAGTCGCTCGTGTTGCAGTCTTCCATCACCACCTTCGGATTCTGGAGTTTGTGCCACTTTGGGAATTCAAAACCGGGCCGTCGGTTTTGGGATGAGATGATTTATGGCTTCTGGTGCGGGTGGTTAGGACAGGACAGTATGGGGGCGTGACTCACTGGAACTGACGGGTCACGTCCCGCAAACCCTAGCCTTCCTAAACTCCATAGCAAGCAGTGCACCGTACACTGAGATGCAGGCTGTAGCCAAAGCTCGGCAGTGGTAGCCGCGTACGGCGACGCTGGCACCAACCTGTCGATTCTCGTTGGCTCTTGGGAAACAAAAATTCGGATGGTGGTGCAGACTTGTCAATCCGGGGGCTCCTTCTGGCTTTCACATTGCATTTTGATAGACAGATAGACATAGAGACACCGGCAGATTAGACAGGCAGACAAATTAGCCAGACAGACAGATTCGATCGACTGTTAAGTCGAAAAATGAACGGATAATCTAATAGACAGTTCGATAGATAGATAGATAGATAGATAGATAGATAAATAGATAGATAGATAGATAGATAGGTATGTAGGTAGGTAGGTAGGTAGATAGATAGGTAGTGATGGATAGATAGACAGATAGATAGATAGATCGATGGACGGATGGATGGATGGATGGATAGATAGATAGAGAGCTAGATAGATAGATAGATAGATAGACAGATAGATAGATACCTAGGTAGGTACTGTAGGTAGGTAGGTAGGTAAGTAGGTAGGTAGATAGAACGACAAGTACATATGCATAGATGGATCGATGGAAAGATGGACCGACGGACGGATAGACAGCTAGGTAGACAGACAAGATAGATAGTCAGATAGACAGGTAGAAGGATCGAAAGATCGACAGATGTATGGACAGACCGATTGATAGTGCGAGGCGAAGCTTCCAGAGATCGAAGGAGAGCCACGCGCCAACTGTGAAGATGCTATAGTTTACAGTTCTTACTAAGTTCTTACTATCATTCTTATTAACATCATTAGCTATGACCCCGAATGTCCTCCGAAAGCCGGAACCCGAATGTAAGTATCACTTTGACTGCGGCTTTGATGCTCTCGATTCTTGTGCTTTGCGCGTTCTCCGGGACCCGGAAGAGCCGGGTCTGGAGAAGCATGCATGACACTGAAAGAAGCCATGAGGAGGGCCCGTCCCTGAACCCATGAACCTTTAGGGATCAGGGTCGATAGCTTTGGGTAGGGCCCCGGAGGCATGGACCATAAAGCTCTCGTCACGCCGTCCCAAAGTGATCTGAGGAAGTGGCCGGCTTCAGCCAAAGCTCGCAGCGGCTGGACTTGTGGTACTCGAAGCCTGCGCTGTTTTCTTCGGCTTGTCGGCTTGAGCTGCTGGGCTCGGCAGTCTTCTGAACCGCTCTGGCTTAGTTTGTGAGATCGGCTCATTAGACTGTAAGTTCGTCTACTTACTGCTCCGTCTCTCAAGCATGCAGAAGTGTGACTGGTCTCTAAGCCTTGACATGAGGCTGAATACGGGCTCGTGAGGTTGCCATAGCAACTCTTAACTCCTTCCTCTTTGAAACGACACTGATCTTGACAACTCTGCCTGTGCAATAGCCTGTCGCCATGGAGCATTGCCGTTGGCAGTCCTGCCAGCAACAACCAGACACGGTTGATCGCACGTTCTGGAGACTGCTTCGCCGTGCCGTATTGCAGGCTGTTGAACGCGCTTCGAGCTCATGTTGAAGTGAACCTTGGCCTGTTGCAGTCCTTATTCCCGCGCTAGGCCGTTGACATCCCGCAGGAATCGGCACGGCTTTCGTTCGTTTTAGCATCTCAGCAGCCGAATCGAGCATACTTCGAGCCATTTCCGCGGAGCCAGCCATGCTCGGAAGCCGGAAGCTGTCAGCAAAGGATTCAAATGGGCAGTGTTTCTCGACAATCGAACGGCGGAGGTAGGAAAGCCTAGAGGGGTATTAGGGGTTACGCAGAGAACGTCCTAGAAATAGGCTCGAATCCAAATTGCAATCATCAGCAGTGCTATCCTCCTTATGCTCCCCTGTAACTTGATCATCATACTGGAATACAGTACCCCCGAAGCGCTGCTCTGAGTAAGCTCACGAAATCTCCCTGTGATCTTGGCCTGAAGCAGCTGTCTTCTTGCTTTATTTTTTCCGCTGCGCACAGTTTTCCTGAACAAATCCCTCACAGCCGGTGCCTCCTTGGATTCTGCCGTAGTCACCTTGAAGTACGACGCTTTGTTGTCACCTTCGCAGAAATGCCCTCTGTTGCACGCCGGCGACGAGTGATGTGCAACGAAAGTCCCTTCCCGAGGCTGGGCTGAGGCTGGACAAAGCCGTGATGCTCAAACCAACCCAAAACCGGATGCCAGAAACATCCCCAGAACGTTTGACATCCGAAACGAACCCCCGTCACCCGAGCCTGGGGATTCTCCGCGACACACGCGGTTGGAGCCCCCGTCCACTTCCTCGAAGATTGCCAACGTGGGATCCTCCTGGGCGCAGCTGCGGAGGATTAGAGTTCGGAGGCTTTGGGATCTGTCGCCGCAAGTCTGAGAATAATTGCTCAATGTCAACGGCTTTAAATGTTGATCAGCCGTCCTGGGTCCGTGACGTTTGCCGAGCTCCGTTTCCACAGGCTTTGTGTTCCCATGCACCGAAAACTTGGGGTGCCCTGCTGCTTCGTAAACTCTCAGTTCTATGAGGGATGCTCTTTTCCCAAAGCGTGCAAAGTGTACTCATTGAGCTACTAAGTTTCCCTTGATAGGATCGGTCCACTTTGCTTTGGCCAATGCGCAGTTCGTCCATGTCAAAATGGGCAAACACCTAACCTGCACTGGTGTTGGTGCTGCCGGATACTGCAGCCAAGGTGAACTGAGAGGCGACTTTGCCGCTGGCCAAACTTTTAATGGCTCTCACCCGGTCCTTGCCTACGTCCACGGGGACCCACGAAAATCGATGCATCTTGCAGCTTTCGGTCTCCGTGCCCGGCCCGGCACGTCCTGTGTGCAGATGGGCATGGTCGCCCGTGAACACCCTTGCGGATCGCCCTGGACGTTTGGCACAATTCTGCCAGAACATTCTCGGTCTGCCTTGGAATGATAAGCTCCTCCTCGTCCTCTGCCTCCTCTCATGGTTCATCACACACGAAATAACCGCTACGAAAACCGCAGAAGCATCCGCGGTTCAATTCGTGTACCTTCGAGCACGTCACACATGAAACACAGCTGACGCAGTTTCTGCTAAGTTAAGCAAAGCAACAACCTTAGAAACATGCGCATTCGACAATTAGAGCTCCTCCTCCTCTTGGCCCCAGTACCATTTGCTCAACAAAGCACTTGCAGAGGTCTCGGGCATGAATCCTCAAGAAAGTCTTGCGCTTTGCGCATGCGCGTGGTGTGGAGAATCTCGGGCGGGGAGTCGGATAGCATGGAGCGTGGGCAAAGAACTTCCGTCGAACCCATATCAGGAGATGCTCCGCTCTCGCTAAGCATGCGATTGGCATCCTTCCGTCCATTCCTAGTTGCATAAAAGAAGGTGGTTTCACTTATATCATCGGGGCTCGAACCCCAGGTTCAGCAGAAACCCGACCGTTCCGAGATTGCCTTTCGATGCAGCGTAGAACAGGGGAGATTCTTGTCGATTTCTCCCAGGTCTTCTCCCATCTGATGACCCAGATAGATCTTCGCTCATTGCTCGGACCCACGACGGGCGCGGGCTGCTGCAAGGAACAGGAAATTCTGGTCTAGGCTCGACAGCGCCAATTAATCTATGCTTGCACCCTCTAACGCCTTCTTCGCTTCCGAGAACTCGTCATCTCTCACTTTAGATTTGAAAAAATAAGTACTCGGTCGCGATGCACGGGCTTCATGTCCAGTGCGAACCTGTCTTTAGCCCGGGCTTCGATTGGACGGCATATCTTTCGGACGTCAAATGGCAGGAATTGCTTCCTGCTCCAGAACCAAGGAAAAACGTCCAGACCCTGACTCTCAAACTAACTAGGGCTAAGGCCAGCGAGGCTGTGTAGCATTGGAAGTTGCTGGCGATCACTCCGGTCTGCACCTGGGCGATGCTTTCTCCCTCCAAGACGGTCTGACCATAGTCAAGGCAGCTGGTATTTGGCACTGCTTCTCGACATTGACAGTTACACACATCCCAAAATCCACTACCTGGAGCTTATGCAGAACCCTGGCACACAAGGCCTTGCATTTACTATCGTCCATCGCCTCTACATCGATGTAGTTGCAGCAACATCTAGGTGATAGGGGAAAGTTGTAGGGATGTGCAATGCTTTCGATGCTGGTTTGCAGCCTGACTAGCATCTTGTGTTGGCATGGAATCGTATCACGAACTAGGGCTCCTTGATGACTGGCGTAACCAGGCAGATTTCTCGGATCTCATCTAGAGCATCCAGTGTACGGTCTTGAACAACCCCTTGTCATGCTCTGACAGGCTTGTCGGGCCGAGGGTCCTATAGTCCTGGAGTCCTAGGATACGTTTATGAGTCAGCCGATAAGATTCGACCGGGAGTCCGGACAGCTTTGGTCCAGACCTCACAACGCCGCATCTTCGGGTTGAACTCGATGCCCATGCAGGAGGCCCTGGCAGAGGCAAGCGGAGGAAGTCTGGGTGAAGGGCTTAGGGATGCAGGGATGCTTTCAGCTTGACGGGCTGCGTCAGAGGGGAAGACGGCTTGGGAATGTAATCGGGGATTTCTTGCCTGCCGGCTTTGAGGCTTGGCTCACGGGCCGGGGCCCTGAGGAAAACAGGTAGAAAAGCCCAACCCGATGTGAGAGTTGCGCTGGTTGAAATAGACGCCTGAATGATTTGACAACGGTTTTGGGGGGCGTGAGACTATAAAGTAGGGAACCATAGGGAATAAACACTGCAAATACGTTACCATGATGCGCGCCTCTCGCTGCAGTAGCCCTGGCACGTCTCCAGATCGTCCACTCTCAGAAACGGGATGTAATTCGAACGGTCATTGTCGCCTCAGCTAGCAGGGCCCTCGTCATGGCTATCCCAACCTGTGAGACATGAACCCTCATAACGGTTCCTTTAAAGAGTCCTTTAAAGGTTCCTGAACCCGTAACGGTTCCTTTAAAGGCTCCTTTAATAAAGTCCTTTAAAGGTTCCCGAAGGTTCCCCAGGCTGGGCCGCAGGCGCCAGTCGGTGCCTCGGCAAGCAATGCCCTCACCGCCACGGACCGGCGTGAAGGAGAGCTTTGCCTGGAGTGACGACAGAACGGGGGACATGACTTACCTTTGGTTAGTAGGGAATGGAGGAATGGGAACTATTATAAGTACCATTACTACCATTCTTCCATTCCCTACTAACCAAAGGTAGGATGAGGGGTCACTTCTGCAAGCAGCTCCTCCAACTGGGACTCTGCGGGCCCTTTGTTGTAAGAGTAAGGTACTCTTTGGAGGAGCACAACTACGGGAACCCGAGTGCTCCAGACAGGGACGGGGATCTGTCGCGCCAGAGCTCGGCCACTCCATGTCACTCCATGCGAGTCCATGCAGTCGGACGTATCCCCGGGCGTCCCATCAGTTGCTGCATTGCAAGAGAGTTGAGACGGCCTGGCCTGACGGATGCCGCCCGCATGTGGGGCCATGAGGCATTTCCCGAGGCCGTTCCTGCCATGCGATGGGGGCCAGTGATGTCAAGACACCAGGACAACTCAGGACGACGAGCTGTGAGAGTATCGCAGTGTCGATAGATGACCTCTGGGACGGGTGCGACATCCCATAGACATTTTTGTAACAAAGGAAGCCGCCGTTCTTCGTCCTCCGAGGTAAACCGGTCCACTCAGAAAAACTACAAACCCTCGTTCGGCCTGAACTGCTCGAGACTCTCGTCGTAGAACCAGGTCTGCCCGCGGGAGGCTCAAACTCAAGAGGCTTCAGGATTTTTGAGACTTCGGTGCGCGAGGGCGCACGTTCCGAACACATCCGAACTATGCACTTCATGGCTTCATCGATGATGCTTCTTTCCACGGTTCAGGGGAGCTGTAGAAGAACTATGACGACTGTGTTAGGTGCGCTCCCCCCCCCCAACTTCTGGAAGGCGTCAGCTATGCCTGGACCCATCAACGATGCACCCCAAAGGCTCCTGAAGGTCATCGCTGACGTCGCAGGAGCGCATCTGAAGACTGCTCCTGGGCGAAGTCCACACGTTGAAGGGAGGTGTCTAGCGACGTTCAATGCCAGCCTAAGAGTGTCCATGAAGCTCCCCAGTCATCAGAGTCCTAAGTCCTGCACCCCACAGCCCCAAAGCCCCGAAATGTCCTGGAGTTGCCATCCTTGGCCGCTAGGCAAATGCCGGACTTGAGCCTCCAAGGAAGCCCACTCTGCGGGCTCAATTGGTTCAGTCGTAGCACCCAAAGGAAACATGGTCATGCTCAGGATTATACATGCACATGTTGTGTCTCAGAAGTATGACGACAGCAATGCAAAAAGTTCCGAGGTTGACCACAGCAATATATAGTGACAGGAAGAAGATGTAGAAGGTGAAACAAGGGCTGTTCTAGTCAGAAACCTTTCGCGGGCCTTACGTGGAATCCCATCGAGACCGGCGTCTGCGTGGTGGTGGCGATTCCGTTGATTCGCCTCATCGCACTCCAATGGCTCGGCTGAGGACTGTCCAGGGCAAGTTCATGACACACCAAGCAACCCTACAAGCCTTGAGCTCTGAGCTCTGCAGCGATAATCCCCCAAAGTCCGCAAGCCATGCAGACCCAAAGCCCTAGCCCTGGAAAGCGAGTGCTGACCCTGAAATCTGGATTCCCACATCCCCCTCAAACCCCCAAAAACCCATAATGATGCTGTCGAACCCTTAACCGCAAACCCCTCTAGAACCTGTCAAGCGGCCAATGCTGCCTGGAGTTGTCCGGCTCACAGGCTGCCATGCGAAGTCCCGAACCTCTTCTTCTTGAGTGTTTGCGAGCTCTGCCTTTTTGAGGGTCTTGCGGTGGCAGTGTTTCGAGCTTCGAGCTTCGAGGTGCAGGGCTTGCAAGCTACAAGGCTACGGTTAAGGAGTTGGGGGGCGCTTCTAAGGTTGGTCTCGCGACAGCCGGGATCCTGAAAAGCCTGCAAGAGGATTCACTCCCTTTAGGCTCTGTGACGGGCACATCCGCCAAAGATAAAAGTCTTCCGTCTCTCATCATGTTTCCGTGCACTATACAGTGTTTTGTGTCACAAGATATTCCACTAGACTACAGAACTATGATATACTATCTACATATATTTTATATATATATATGGCTATAGCATGCGATGCCGCAGAACTGCATCCCACTTTAACTCACTCTATCTCCTCGAAAGTCCCGGGAGATCCCCGGAAGATCCCTCGCTGAGATCCTGAAACCCAGGCCTGTGTCCACCGCCTCCAAGCAAAGGCCCCACCTCCGCTGAGAGGAACCACCGAGCCAATAGGTCTCGGGGTATGAGCCTTTTTTGTTTTATTCCGACTACTTGTGTTATATTTGGCTATTTTGATGAGTTGATGAGTAGGAATTATGACTATTGCGATTATTCTTGTCATTGCCATTATCATTACTATTACTTTTTTATTGTATACATCCTCTGATCAGATCCCTGAACGCTTTCGCAGCCCAGCCGCGGATTCCACACGAGACCCGCCGTCTGGTCGTAGGCCTTAGCTGTGCATGCGCATCATGTCCATGTGGCCTCGGCAGTGTAAGTCCGTAGACTTGACCTAAACCCAAAAAACCCAGGCCCCAGGCTCCACCTGCACAGAAAGACTATAAATTCCTGCTCCGGGCGGCGAAGCGCTGAAGCCTGGTGTCCGCGCAGGGCCTCACTGTGAGGACCGCCCCAACGATACCTGCGGTGGATTTCACACTCGAGGAGTCATGCTTCAGCATAAAACCCGGTCGTCTTCTCTCGGCTCCAACTTGTACTTGTGGTGCCCGACTGTCGGCAGTCCGGCTTGGATGAGCTACCCCGAAGTGACGACCCACGCGGGCAAATCAAAGGTGCAATGATGTTGCCACTACTCGTAGTAGCCGCTTCTCGGGTACAAGCTGCTAATATTTCAACGAATAAGAGAGGATGCTCAAATCGACACAACCAAACACGATCACAACTACAAGCAAATCACATCGATTGACTGATAGCAATGAGAACACTTGTAGTTAAAGTTATGATCAAGCCACTTCCACTCTGCACGCACTCCCCGTCTGCCACAGACAGCTGCAGAATAGTCTGGTTGTAGGCGAAGTACTGGTCCAAGCCTGGGTTTGGCAGGCATTTGCCTTTGCAGCCTGAGGGTGTAGGCTTAAGCGGATCTTGAGCCAGCGCCTGAACACTGTGACATATTTTGATACATGGTATATATGCGGAAGCCTGGTGCGGCTAGAGCGCCTGTCATGGTGCCGAAACTCCGAAGAGGCCCAACACGCAGAAAGCCAAGCCCTTCTGCGTGAGTGTCGTGGTAGTCTCTTGCGCTCAACCAACGACGTTGTGATGCAGGGCTTTTTCTTTACAAAGCCATACTTAGTACCAAGGGTCTCTGTGTGTAGACAACATTCTACTTGTCTTTCTCATTGAACACTGTGCTCAAGTCTGCTCTGACGGTTTCGGGCCGGGCTTAGGGACCACGCACCCTGCCAACAAAAGCCGTGCTTCTCGTTGCGTCGCAGTCCGCCGTGACCAAGCTGAGGGCCGGGCTTAGGATTATATTACATTTTATTGCATTACATTATAGTATATTATGTTATATTATATTATAGGGATAGATAGATCGATAGATAGATACATACATAGACAGATAGATCATCAGGTAGGTAAGCCGGTAGGACGGTAGGCAGGTAGGTAGGTAGGTAAGTAGTTAGGTAGGTAGGTAGGTAGGTAGGTAGGTAGGTAGGTAGGTAGGCAGGGAGGTAGGTAGGTAGGTAGGTAGATACATAGATAAATAGATAGATCATGTACATCCATCCATCTATATATATACATATATATATATATGGACTGCATGTATGTATGTATGCATGCATGGATGTATGTATGTGTGTGTAGGTGTCTGTGTCTGTGTCTGTGTCTGTGTCTGTATATGTATATGTATATGTATATGTATATGTATATGTATATGTATGTGTTTATGTATATGTACATGTACATGCATATGTATATGTATATGTATGTGCATGTGTATGTGTATGCATTTGCGTTTGTATTTGCATTTGCATTTCTATTTATGGTAGGGTTCCCTACGTCTGTAAGTGCCAAAGTCAGTACCTTCGGCAGCTGCCAGCATCTTGATCGAGTAAGCAGCAGTTGATCTTGCTCTCTGCAAGCCCGACACCCAGCCCCTCAACTCCATGCCCTGGGTCCCAGATGATAAACCCATTACAACCCCGTCAAACCTTCAAAACAAAAACCCTAAACTCCTAAACCCCTAAACTCCTAAACCCCTAACCCCTAAACTCCTAAACCCCTAAACCCCTAAACTCCTGAACCCCTAAACCCTTAAACCCCTAAACATCCCGCCTCGTGCTGCTCCGCGCGGCGCAGTTGCTGCCGCTCTGCCGCTCCAGGAGCCCCGCTTGGCTGGGGCTGGGGCGGCCCCACGAGGCCTCGAATAATCGGTGTAGGGTTTAGGGGTTTAGGGGTTTAGGGTTTAGGGGCCTCTAATAACAGTAGTCGTAGCAATCATAATTTTTTTATAGTAACAATATATCATAACAATCATAGTAATCATACTTTAGGGTAACAATAATGGCGGTATAATAAGAACAGGAATCAAATTAATCGCAATATCAACAATAATTTTGGGTTTAGGCTATGTGTTGTTTGGTCTGGTCAGGTTTGGGGTTTGGGGATTTCCAGACTGATCGTTTTTTTCTAGCTTCTGGGTTGGAGGGGCGTTTGGTTTGAAGGTTGGGGTTTTGGGTATGGCCATGATGCGGGGCTTTGCGGATTCGGGTTTGGAGAAGGCCTTTCAGGTTTGGGGCCTTGCGATGCGGAATCGGGTGTTCGGGTTTAGGGCAATGTACAATCAGTAGGGCAGAAACGAGATGAACGGACACACATGTTGACAAGAATTATCAGAGTTTTCATTGCTACGATCACGCTGATGTGCTTATAGCTCGTAGAAACTTTGTCACAGGCGCTTAGACACCGTGGCAAAAGAGATATCTTAAATGGCAAAATATATTCTCAAGACGTCTGGTCCTTGTCTCAGAGATTTCTCAGCTGTTGAAAAGCTATTGCGATGGCTCTCAAAAGCCATTTTCGCGGCTTTCTTTCCTCATGGTCACTCCCTTTCTTCCATGATGGAAATCTTAAATCCACGGCTTCGGGGTCCACGCTCTTTAAGGGCTTTAGAGGCCACGGCTTTGAGTGGGTGCTGCAGGGGCTGCGACAGGGAGGGGCTCATGGCCCTGGGGCTCAGAGCCCTTCGGCAATTTTAGGGTTGAGGGTTTAGGGATCCGGCCCGAAGGCCTCTCTTTTTGGATGCGAGAAACGAAGGGCAAGGTTACCGCATGTCAGGGCTTCGAACCCCTCTCCACCGCTAAAGCCTAACCCAGCCCTGAGCTCTGAGGACCCGTCCGTCCAGCCGGTAGTGGTGGTGGTGGTGACGAGCTGCTGCTCGCCCCAATACCACATCCTGATGTCTCGCAGTTCGGATTCAGGGGCCCCTGACAGCCCCAAACAGAATCATCCTCCTAAGCCCGAAGAGTCTCCCAGTAGTATCCTCGTCTAAAGAGGACCACCAAAAAGGTATACCTACTTCTAACAAAGCCCCCAACCAGAACCGAGGAACTGGTTGGCCTCGGAAGTGCAAACAGCGGTAACCACCTCAGCGTCTGGGACTTGGGGACTGCTGCGTTAACTAGTTTGTTAATATGACCTGTTGTGTGCTGCTGGTACATCCGCAACTATTCTTAGTCTTGTTCATGCTGGGGTTTCAATGAGTGAGAATTGGGCTGGAGGTTCACATGGGAGCTGATTGCGGTACGTCGCATGTTGAAGGGCGATTGCATGCCCCTTGCGCCGAATCGCTTCTTTCCCTGCGCACTCAGTCCCAACTCATCAGCTCCCATCTTTAACATGCGTCCTGAAGCTCAAACTGCCGCGACATGAACCTTACACCGGGAGCCCGCCTCGTTCCACTCCACATCCGGTCTGGGACGAACCTCCAGGCACAGACCACCTGGTCTGCAAAGCTGCGGTGCTGTGTGGGGGTTTACCCTGGAGGCGAAAGTTTGCAGGGTACGTGTGGCACGGGCGTTCAAATCCTTTGGAGGGTTCAAGGGTTTGGGACCCATGAAAATGTCGGTGTTCCGATTTTGGCTGTAGCGGCTGTAGCCTCAAAACCGTGACGAAAATTCGCTTGTGCGTATATGCATATATGAATGGAGAGAGACACTGCGTCTGTGCATGTAAGTCCATGGGGACAGCAAGTAACTGCGGGCAATATATATATATATATGTATGTATATATATATATATAGACGCGTGAGGCTCCGGTGCAGCCACCCTTCTCCACACGACGCTGAAGCCGCCATGTCTTGGACTTTGCCCATAAGCCCCAACCGAAACAACACAAAAACCTGCAGATTCTGGACCCCCGCCAGCAGACCGCCTTTGGAGCAATTAATGGACATGGGAAGTGCCTCAAACGTTGGCTCCGGAAAAACTGGAGGTAATTAATTAGTTGAATGAAAGTGAAATGACAACTATCATTGAATCATGTTCATCATTCGCATGACCACGAGAATCATCATGACACCAGCAGCATCTGCATCCTGGTCGCCACCCTCGTCATGGTCACCATGACGCGCGCCATTCCCATCGTCAACTCCCCAGCATGAATCAACGGCAAAAATGCCTTCTTCATGCTTATATAGGTTCTGAGTGTTCCGGGGTGCTGACGTCATGTGCTCTAATTCGGTACTGTTTTGTGTCATTTTGATATTCCGGCGCTGCTGAAACCTGGCTCACTCTGATACTGACGATGTTGCGTGTGAGCTCTGGGGAGCCAAAAAATGGAACGTCCCCCAGGAACATCCTGCCGCCTGCAGTTCGTATCTGGCCGGTGACCTCATCCAGCGTGAAGTTCCTTGCATACTGAGCAAGACTTCTGCAGTCTAATCGGTCTCGCAGATGCGGCTGTGTTGTCGATCTGAGGTATGTGTGCGCGTATTCTGCACACGCCGTATACCCAACAACATGCATGCATGTATACATACGTAATACATGCAGGCATACAACATACAGACATACACACAAACATAGACACATACATGCATATATATGCATGCCTGCATACATACATACATATATCCATGCATGAATGTCTGCATGCATGCATACACATACACACGTACATACATATACAAATATCCATCCATCCCTCCATCCATGCATCCATCCATCCATGCATCCGTGCAAACAACATCAAACAACCCCAACACACATGCATGCATACCTGTGCGCACAAATGCATGCAAAGCGCATGCAAACATGCAAGCGCGCGCACACACACACACACACATAAATATATATATATACATATATATATATATTTATATTTATATTTATATTTATATTTATATTTATATTTATATTTATATTTATATTTGTTTGTTTATTTATTTATATGTATATGTATATGTATATTTATATTTATGTTTATATATTTTTTTATATACACACAAGATACATCTTCATCTACGTGCACACAGGACAGAGGCACCGCTACAAAATTATATATATATATACACACACACACACCTCCAGGCACATGCGTAGGCATGACACACATACATACAGACAGCCAGACAGCCAGACAGACCGACGGACGGACGGACGGACAGACAAACAAACATTCCATACATGCATGCACACGTGCATGTATGCATAGTCCAAAACTGTAGCCACGTTCACTCCAATGTGTGCTATTTTGCACTCTACTGCTTTCCTCGTTTATTTAGGCATACGTATATATAATACGCATACTCAGAGACTATGACGAGGTACATGCTGTGTTGCATGGGTTCTGCTCCATCCCTGGTGCGATCAGGACACTGTGCCGGCTCCTCATCGGAGCAGGGCCACATCACAAGGAGCGTGCCTCCCAAACGCACTCTCGCAATGTTGGGGAGGGTTGATAGAAACCCATCACCCTTCGAATCCTGAATCCTGAATGGCCTGGCCCCTGGCCACGGGTATCCCAAAACTCGCAACTCTCGAGCCTGGCGTCGTCTTCTCGGCGGCATGGAGGCAACGTAAGCTCTCCTCTGCAATTAGGTTTAGGCCTTGCTTGGGAAGTTGTGACGTGGCTTCGGGAGCCGGGTGCTTGCATGACTTCCGGACGCACAACGAACTTAAGCGCATTGCTTCAGCAAGCACGTCGCCGTAGAGACCCAACATTCCTCCAGAACCCATAACGCCCGCAGAAGACTCTATGACAGTATCCTCCGCATTGGTCAGCTGCCCCGTCGAAGGGTGGTGCATCCACTGCCTCAGTCGAAGCGATGTTCTCGTCTCTCTACTTCTCTACCTGTCTGTTATTCATCGTTCATGTATGTTCTAAAACTGAAGGAATGATTCGTGCCTACCACCCACCACCACCAGCAACAACAACAACTGCTACACCTACTGCTCTTACTTATCATATTATAGTCTGTTCTATTCTTTTCTATTATATAATATAATGGTATATTATGTTATACAATAGTCTTATCAATCTTCTTGTGTTTCTCACTACCTCGGAGCTTTGGGCAAACCCGAAAACATCAGCAGCCCAATCCCCCGAGTCGTCCAAGCACAGCCCCCACAAGACAGACTAGGGTTTGGGTTTACGGTTTCGTTTTTTCTTTTTTTTAGGGCCTTTTTCCACAGTAATCCGCGGAGAGCCCTGCGGTTTCGGGTTTAGGGTTTAGGGTGTGGTTGCTCCTGTCCGGGGTTCGGAGCCTGCAGGGGGAAATTGGTTGGATGATGGGGCCGTAGTGTCAATGAAAATCAATTCCTAGACCCTGTAGAGCAAACCCGGAAACACTGGACAAACCTGCATTATAAACACAACAATAAAAAATCACAGACAGGTTTTACTGAAAACCCCTATATTCTGACTATGACTACCACCCCTAAAGGGCCCTAAAGCCGTGGTAGAGAGGCCCCGTGGGTTCGGTCTCCGAGACGCTCCGCGGGCACAGCTGGCAGGAAGCAGCGGTGAAGATTCCTTGCTGCTACTTTTGGTTTTGGGAGTCGGATTTGGGGGTTCTTAGACTGGCTCCTTGTTGGGGACATATTAAACATGATCATTTTTAATCCTTACAGTATTGGGTTTCATTATAACAAAAAAACTGTAGCCAACAAGGACCCAGTTAAGTTTCATAGGGCGAAGTTTGCAAAAATGACTTGGCAGGTGGGGGATGACCGTTCGGGGCTTCAAGGCTTTGGCGCGAGCTTCATGCAAAGGTATAGGAAGGGCTCCCCTAGGCTGAGCCACCACCGAACTCCCATTGGGTGACAGCCTCTGCCTTAGGGTTTATAGGGTTAACTCTAAACAATAAGACAATCTCGGCAAACCAAAGGCAGACAAAGCTCTGTGAGTGACATCGTGACCCCCCCGAAACCCAAACCTAAACCCGAAACCCTACACCCCTAAGCTTAAAGCATGAATTCCAAACTGTCAGCCCCGAACCTTGAACCCCATGAATTCCGCCCAAGCCCAAGAATCATGCTCCGAACAAGATAGGACCCTGAACGCCGGCAACCCCGAAAAGCATAAAATAATAACATAAATACGTCCACAACTAGATGAACAAGATGACATGCAATGAAAACATATATATATATACAGCATTTAATAGTTAAGATACATGTGTGTATGTATATATATATAAAGAGAGAGAGAGAGAGAGAGAGAGAGAGAGGGAGAGAACACCCCGGCAAGCCAAGTGTCACTGCAGCTCCAGAGCGGTTGTACTCCTCAGGGGGGGGGGGAAGACTGTACTCCAACAAACAGGCCCCCTGCATCGAAGTTTGTTCTTTTTCTCTTTGGATTTGCGCCACATAAGCCCCAAATCCTTGACAGCAAGCATTAATACTATCGAGGTCTGAATAGTCAGACTAGAAATTGGGGGAGTCCTATATTAATATAAGAAATATGTTCGGGAACCACGAGGAATGCCATTAGTGATCCTTCCGGCCGCTATATACCCCCCCTGTCAGCTCCTTGGCCATGAGGCATTGTCCATCTGAGTACCTGGGCCGGAGCCAAACGATCAGGGGCAACGGGCATCGACATGATTGCTTCCTGAGGGTTTAGGGTTTAGGGTCTAGTGGTAGCTGAGGTCACGTTGTGGTGCGCGTTGGGGTGGGATCCGGCTTACCTTGTAGACTCGGAGTTCGGCTTATGATTTGGTTGGGGTCCGTTTCATATATTCATCAAGGGAAATAGCATAACCAAATTGAGTGCAATCTCCAACATTCTCTTACCGAAGCAAAACTTAAACACCTAGACCCGCAAACCCTAAAGGCCGTCGGGGAGCTGAATCCAGATCGAAGGCGGGGGCGGCACTGGGGCACACTGGCAGATGAGGTCCGGGGTGCCCTGGCACCATTTGCGTTAAAGCTGCCGAGGACAAGCCCAGATAGCCCAGTCAATTCATATCAAGGAATCATCCCTACAAGATTATGGTATGGTCTTATGGGGTTTAACGATGCTTCACTACGAGCATGCTTGGTCGCAATGGCCGTTCGTGGCAGCAATACTGACATGACTCGCGCTGTGCTGATTACCACAACGGATAAGGCTACGACTACGAACGGCACTATCATATCAAAATCTAGCAGCATCGTCGCTACTGCCAGTGCTGGTTACTATGATCGGCAGTGTTCCGTTTCCTGTCGGTTAGCCGTAGGTGCTGTAGCGGCTTGTGTAAGAGCTTCTGTAGAAGCTGCAACCCCAAGCCCTTTCCCTGGCGTCAAGACATGGGAGCCTCAAAGGCTATACGGTAAGGTCTACTGGCTTAGGCTTAGCTCTGGCTTTTCCTACGCCATATAGTTCGGAAGAGCCAGCTACAGTGCCCACTACAGTGCCCACATAAGATGTGTGCATGTCTGCACAAAGGGTGACTAAACTAAACAAAGCTGACAGCATGTGCTTTGACATGATGACCAGAGGGCCGCAGGATAGCGCACCAGCACAGAACGCAACATCAAGACTCATAGCTGAGAAGTAAGACCTGCGTAGCTGCCGCGTGTTGGCTGCAGGACTGGAGCCACGAACGTGCGTGCCGCTACTAGCACCACGACGACGCTATAAAACTGATACTAAATTTACTGGTGCTGGCAGTGCCGTGCTGCTGCTGCCCTGCTGATTCTGGAAAGCTACATCAGAGTTCAGACGCCGCCATTTTTTGTGTCATGCAGGTTCCCTGCCTGATACACGTCCGTGCATGACAGGGATGTGAGGGCTTCACAGCCGTCATCCAAGTCCTCCCACCTGAGCTCTGCTCGACGTTTGTGGATGCATGATTTGGCTCCCCTGAAACTTCTTTCCAGCAGCCTAGACAGAGTGCTCACAGAGACTGCCAGGGATGGAAATGGAAGTCGACACCCTGTTCGTGAACAAGAAAGCCAGATTCTGCGGTATGGGGTCTGGCTGTTCGGAGTGGAGAAGAGCCGGTTCGTCTTCAGGCTCCTGTTCTCGTTGTTTTTCTGAACGAGAGCACCTCGTCGCTGCTCTGGGCAACTCCTGCCGTGTTGGGGTCCCCCTCGCCCGGAAGAGCATTCTTCAATGCGATAGGGTTCTGCCACACATGCCGCCAAGATTGTACTCAGGGACTTGAGCAGCCGGATGATAAGGCCATGTTCATATTGCGTGCTGCGATATCATATTCTACAGAACGCTGGTGTTCACGTGGCCACGACCAAACGAGCAGCCGGCAGCCTCAAACACACACACACACACACACACACCCCTTGCAGAACAAGACAAGACAGCTGCAACCCGAAGTCCTCACATGCTTGTGCGAACTTGTTTGTGCGAGGTCCAAGTGTTGTTTTGTTATTGCTTCGAGTTGAGTGCAATCCTGTGGGACAAGTTCTGATGCGGTTCATGGGTCCAGCTATGCCCCAGTTTCAAACCCAACCCAAATTCAAAGCTAGCTCTGAGACCCCAGCGCCCCAGCACAGAGCAAATGATGGTCTTCGCAGTAGTCATGGCAGGACCTGCACTGACTTGGGATTTTCGTGTCTGAACTACGGCACCGTCGCAGGATAGCAGCAAGCGTGCTTCCACTACTGCGACTGCTACTGCTGCTGCTGCTGCTTCTGCTGCTGCTGCTGCTACTACTACTACTACTACTACTACTACTGCACTACTACGACTCCGACTACTTCTCCTCCTGCAGCAGCTACGGTGGCGACTACTACAGTACTAGCCTGCCCAGCATTCCGCCGGCAAGCACCGTGCAGCCGTCGTCGGAGCAGCGCTTCAGGACGTTCCCCAAGGCCGAACAGGCACCTGTGCATTCACATATTTCATAATGATAATAACAATATTTATAATAATCATAATCATAATAATATTAGTAATAATAATAATAGTAATGATATTAGTATCAATATACATAATATTTATGTAAGGAAGCCAGCATTGCCGTGGACGAGCACTGTGAGTACGTGCGAGTGTGGGCACATGCATTCTAAACAATGTACATGGTGGTACATCTTACGGCTTTGCTGTTATCCGCTTTGTCATCTGGCGCTTCTGCAATAATGCACGATTGTATGTGGCTGCATGCGAAGCTGGACACATGGAACACACAGGCACACCGACAAACAAACAAACAAACAAACAAACAAACAAAACAACCCAAACACACAAACATACAAACCAACAAAACAAGTAATCCAACAAACAAAACAAACAAGCAAACAAACAAACGAATAATCCCAACAATCCAAAACAAACCAATGCACAAACAAGCTACAACAAAACATCAAACGAATCCAAAACATCCAAACAAACAAACAAACAAAACGCAAACAATCCAAACCTGCGGTGGTCGTAGTCGTGGTCGTTGTGGTAATCGTCGATGTTGTTGTCGTCGTTTTGCATGGGACTTCCTGAGGATGGCCAAGATCAAAGCCAGTCAAATAGGCTGAAGAAAGCTTGCCCCCAGGCCCCAACCTCCAGGCCAGAACTATCGAGATAAATACCTAAGAAGCCTTTACTCCAAAACCCGACACCCCCACGACCCGGCCTGGAATGCACCAGAGCCGCAGAATCGGCACTCCACGTTCTTGCCTCGAGGGCTGGAGTTGGGGCTTCGGGAGATCCTTCGGGAGATCCGGCGTCAGAGCGTCGGATTGGAGCTGACGGCGTTGGAGTTCGAAAAGGGGCTGACAGAGAGGCTCTGGGCTCCTAGGGTTTGGGGTGTAGGGGTTTAGGGGTCAGGGATTTAGGGATTCCGGGGCTTAGGGTTTAAGGGTTTCGGTTTTTTAGGGTTTAGGGGCACCCAGCTTGAACACAAAGAGCCTCAAGCCCAGCTCAACTGGTCTAAAGGATCCAAGAGAGATCAAAGGTGCCGTCGGCGAAGCAGCCCAGCTTGCCGAGGTGGCAGAAGGGGTCCCAGAAGTACCTTTGGGGGATTTCTTTGTTATGTTTATCATATAGTGTCATGTAATCCCCGCCCCCAAATCCAATTAAGACTGCCAAGGCCCCAAGAGTCAGCTAACGCTTATTGGTAATCGCGGTTCGTGAAGCTAGAAGATGCAGTCTTCGTATGGCAGCCGAATGCTCGAGAGCAGGCGGATCCTAGAGTGGAGATGTGGCAACCATCCAGGTGTCGGCTTTTCTGCTTCAGAGCCCGCTGGTGTGTTCTAAAGGTGGAAAAAAAAGAGTGAAAGCCACAGCCTTCCACACTGTTCCGTGATCCGGCTCCTCATGGCTCGTCACCAACAGCGAAACGTTTTCAACGCGTTTACAACGGCATGAGAGTTTCAGTTCTCAGGCAGGTACCCAATCACCGGAGGGTTCGGGAACTCGCAGGATCCAGAGACGCCCGTCTTCCCGGTGCAGTCGTACCTCGGGTGCTTGGGATGGTGAGGACTGCAGGCATGGAAGCAGCTTTGATGCGCATGTGATCGGACAACTCAATCCTACAGTATCCTACAGTGCTAGAGCAGCAACAGTGAATAGCAACAATAATAAGATCATGAATGATGTTCTCAAGATGCATGAAGACCGTGGCGATGACTGCGTTACGATAACAAAAGGGGGCATATAGGAAGAAGCAAGCACAGTAGCAGCCCTCGGCCGGCTCCCTCGGTGTCCAAAAAACCTCCGAAGCTTTCAAAAGCGCGTTCATCCAAGGAGCCGCTTGCCCAACTGGCAGGTCGGAGCCTCCGGGCTGGGGGGCTTAGGGGAAGAGCTGACTGTGGCGACCTGGCCACCTGCAAAGTACCGAATTCTGCCACATCAGCTCCTAAACAACATCCAGCCGGTAGGTTGGAGGTCAACTTTGACAGCATAGCTCTCAAGGTTGCAGCTACATCTGCCTGTAACAGCAGCCCATACCTCAGCCGCTCGAACTCCTCACCACTCTCCCCGGACAGAACTTCACAGCATTGGGAACACCATTCGCAGGCCTCGATCACAGAGGCAGATGGGCCTTGGCTTGTTTTGGGATTCCGCCGCGAATCCCAAGACCCTTCCATGCCGACGATTTCATCTGGCCCCTGCTCCCGTGGCATCGAAGCTGCAGTTTGCTGCGAACAGGTTTCTGGACACTCTCTGTTACATGTATCTCTAAACGTCCTGAGCCCGAACCGTGAAATATCCGCGAAGCATCCCTAAACCCTCAACCTTAAACTCATCCATCCCTCTTTGAGCTCTCACGAGGCCAAGGGACAGGTCCTCGTACCCTCGGGCGTCGGGCAACACTCGGAGCCTGCCGGCACCGAAACGCCCAAAGTCCCGACAGCCATGGGGGTTCTGACTGGTTCTTAGTAGGGAATGAAGGAATGGGTTTTTTGGGACTACTATAGGGCACCTCAAAGACCTATCATAGGGATCCCTTCCTCCAGTCCCTACTAAGAACCAGGGAGGATTTAGGCTTTAAGGCGATCTATTAGGGCTTAGCAGAGAGACCTTCCTGAACCATGGGTTTTTGGGCACATTGTGGTAGGCCCCCCCAAGGAAAAAGGAATGTAGTAATTCCCTCTGCCGCTCAACCCTAATAAACCCCTAACAAACCCTAATAAACCCCTAACAAACCCTAATAAACCCTAAACCCAGTAGTTGAAGGTTCGTTTCAGGCCTGGGGGATTTGGGGTCGCGCCTCGGCACTGGTCGGTGCAGCTTCCATCGGGGCAGCAGGGCACCTGCTTGCCACGGAAGCTCGGACAAAGAGCCGCTAAGGCCTCATCCTAAGATATGCTATCGGGGCCTAAAGAAGTACCAACACGATTTTTTCCGGTTCCTTATTGTGTTTATTCTAACCGTTCATTCAGGCACGCATTAGTAGCCCATGACTCTAAATTCCCAAGCAAAACTGGAAACTAAATCCTGAAACGCCATAAAGCTGTGCCGCTCCATCTCCCTGGCTCCGTTTTTTTACGTCTCACTTCTGGTCTGGATGGGCGGTTTCCGAAAACATTGGATATAACACAACATTGCACCTCAACAATACTAGCAGGAATCTGCTTCTTTACAAAGCCACGACGAAGGAAATCCAAGTCTTCGGAAACGCCCGGATGTCTCGGAAATATTGGAACTGTAGTCTGCTAGATTGATTTCATCGCATTGAGACAGTCTCGAAAGCTTGTAGCCTCGCGAGCTGTCTACCCATGAGATACATCGAGGACCGTATCATGAAAGCTTCTGCAGGCGGCCACTATTCAACATGGCCATCTGTGGCGCTTGCAACGAAGAGTTCAGCTCCGGACAGGCCATCGCCGTTTAAAGGGAAAAAATCAGGATCCAGCTCACTGCTAGATAGCAGATTGCGGAGACCGTATTGAGGAGTCTTGACTGGCCCTTGCCAGGTCTCCAAGACTCACGCATCGGCGCACTGTCTCAGAGCGCGCAACTCTTGCAGCAGCACCTCCCTGCTGCGGCCTTCACACTCTTTCGCAGCCATCGATAGGATGCCGGCAAAGTTCCTTCGCTGAAGCACCTGCGCTTGAAGTGCCAAACCCTTGTATTCTCCGAATGGCTGATTCCTACGTCCCTGCCAGCAAGCATGCTGGAACACCTTGAAGCCACGACCGGCTCAATCCTAACAGCAACATGGCTACTCGCTCGCCCTCCGCCACGTTTTCTGAGCCCCCCTTTGGACCCGTAGTAAAAATCTGATGTACTGTAAGTCGCTTATTCTACAATAAGCGGGCCCAGGTAGTGTGTGGCACCTGACGCAGGTTCTGAAGCTTGCGAGACTTCGTCTGCAAACGACCTGGAAGCAGTCCTGCGTGGACGGAAAGTACCTCGTCTGAGTTTTGGCCGGGGCTTACATGGGTTTACAGTGGGGCCGGTTTCGGGGCTCAGGGATTAGTTTCTTCAGTTGCAGCACATCGAGCAGCCCTGTGACAGAAGGCAGTGCTCATGTCGGGCAAGGGACTGCCACCGCCAAGCTCACGTCACGGACTCCATCTTGTTCTGCACGCTCCCGAAGTAGATCTGCAAGAAGATGGAGTAGCTCTGCTCGGGGCATCGTGCTCATCAAAAGGCGCTGCCTCTTGTCGGGCTTCGCATCATCGTGCTGGTAGTGGCAAAGGCCACAGGCCGAACCTCTCTGGCAGAGTCCCCGCTTTGCCATGCCGATGCATGGCTTGTTGCAGAGGGTCGGGTGTCCTGCGCTGTCTCGACTTGGCTGCGGTGCATCGACAGCCGTGGCATTCTGCCCTTGCCGCAGACTCCGAAGTTGACGACGTGCCCAGAGATCCTGAACCAGAGGCTCCGTTTCTGTGTCGGGCACCCGGGTAGGAGAGAGGCTCCGGGCGCGAGCACGAGGATCTGCACCCTCCCTCTGCCCATCATTCACATCAATGAAGGTAAGGCGGTAGGCGATCGTTCGTTCGTGATTGTAATGATGCACCCTA